ACGTTTCGCCTGCATCTATGGCAGGCATCCCCAGAGGTTGTGAGATCTGTTGGAAACTACACAAGTGAGGTTTATATATCTGTGTAATTTTGTTACTGTTTTGAATCGTAATGTAAATATCTGATATCTAGGCAACGGTAACCATTCATAAACTGGGAGGCAAAAACCCGTGAAACCGCGAGTCCGCGAAGTAGCGAGGGAACACTGTAAACCCCATTTTCCTTGTTTCCAACAGACCTCACAACCTCTGAGGATGATGCAGGCGAAACGTCAGGAGAGAATGCTTCTAGAACATGGCCATACAGCCCCCCCCAAAAAACCCAACAACAACCCAATGTTTTGTGTGTTGTCAAAGGCTTTCATGGCTGGAATAACATAGTTGAGAAAACTCACAGCAACCCAAATCATGTTTCCATTTATAATAATAATAATAATAATAATAATAATAATAATAATAATAATAAATAACCCGCGAAACAGCGAGTCTGCAAAAAGCAAACCGCAAAGTAGAGAGAGAACACTGTAATCCTCATTTTCCTTGTTTCCAACAGACCTCACAACCTCTGAGGATGATGCAGGCGAAACGTCAGGAGAGAATGCTTCTAGAACATGGCCATACAGCCCCCCAAAAAACCCAACAACAACCCAATGTTTTGTGTGTTGTCTAAGGCTTTCATGGCCTAAATAACATAGCCATACAGTCCAGAAAACTCACAGCAACCCAAATAATGTTTCATCCATTGTAACAAAACTATCATAAACATTGGTGGCAGTCAGGGCAACAATCTAAATGCAACATAGTCTCAGCAATAACAAACAATGTATCTTTCCTCTCTTCCATCCATCTCTCTTCCTTTTCCTCCTTCTCTTCATTATCTTTCCTACCTTTCCCTCATCTCTATGACCATCTTTTCTCTTCCTTCCAACTCTTTTCCTCTTTTTTTCCACTTCCCTCTCCTTTTCGTCCCTTTCGTTCTTTCTCCAGGATCTTCCTCTCTTTCCTTCTTTTTTTTCTGTAAGATCCCTCTCGCTTTCTTTCTCTCATCTCTCCTTCCTTCTCTTTCTTTGCATCATTTTCTCTGCTTCTTTCTTTCCTTCCACCTCCATTTATCTCCCTCCCTCTTCCACTTCTCCTCCTGCCTCCTCCAAGATCTCTCTCTTTCTTCTTTCTTTACATCATTTTCGCATTCTTTCTTTTTCTCTTTCCTTCTTTTTCCAGGATTTCTCTCTCTCCTCCTCCTGCTGTCATCTCTCCTTCCTTCCTTGTCTCTCTTTCGTCACATCATTTTCTTTGCTTCCTTCTTCAGTCCCATCCTCCCTTCTTCAGGATCTCTCTCTCTCTTGACTCATCTCTCCTGCTTTTTCTGCTTTTTTCTTTCCATCCTCCCATCTTTCCTTTCCTTCATGCTTTAGGATCTCTCTCCTTCTTTCTTCACATCATTCTCCTCCTCCTTCTCTTCCTTCTCTCTCCTTCTCCCATCTTTCCTTTCCTCTCTTCTTTCTTTCTCGTGACCTCTCTCCTGTCGTCTTCCCTTGTCTTTCTCTATCTTCACATCATTTTCTTTGCTTCTTTCCACCCCTTTATCTCCCTCTTCTCTCCGTCTCTCACCTCTTCCTTTCTTCTCTCTTTCTTCACATCATTTTCTCTTCCTTCCTTCCAACCCTCCCTTCTCCTTCTCTCCTCCTTTCTTCTCCAGTATCTCTCTTTCTCACATCTCTCCTTTCCTTCCCTACTTCCCTCCTCTCCTTCTCCAGGATTTCTCACCTCTCTTCTTCCTTCCTTCTTTCCCTCTCATCTTTCCTCATCTCTCTCTTTCTTCACATCACTTTCTCTTCTTTGTTCCCTCCCTTCGCAAGGACCCCCCTCTCCCCATCTTCTCCAGAATATCTCTTTCTCCTGTCTTTCCTTTCCTCCCTTCCTTCTTTCTCCAGGATCCTTCTCTCTCCTTCCCCATCATTCTTCACACTATTCTCTCTGCTTCTTTCTTCCCTCCTTTCCCTCCCTTTCTTCCTTCTCCGGGATCTCTCTCTCCCCTTTTCCCATCCCTCCTTTCCTCCCTTCCTCCTTGTTTGTTCTCTCTCCTCCTTTTTCTCTTTCTTCCCACTATTTTCTCTTCTTCTTTCTTTCCGCTCCCCTTGATCATCCCTCTTCTTCTCTCCACATCTTCCCTCTCTCCTTCCTTCCCTCTTTCTTCATTTTCTCTGCTTCTTTCTTCCTCCTTTCCTCCCTTCTCAAGGATGCCCCTCTCCTCCTGTCTTCTCCAGAATGCCTCTCTCTTCCTTCATACCATTCTTCTTTCTTTCCTCCTTCCTTCCCTTTCTTCTCCAGAATTTCTCTCTCTCTACAGCTTCCCTCGCTCTTCCTTCACCCCATTTTCTCTGCTTCTTTCTTTCCCCCTTTCCTCCCATCTCAAGGATTCTCCTCCTCCTTTCTCTCTTTCTTCACACCATTTCCTTTCTTTTTTTCTTTCTTTCTTCTCTTTCTTTTCTTTCTTTCTTTCTTTCTTCTCTCCTCCCTTCTCTTCTGTTGATCTTTCTCTCTCTCCTCCCTTCTTTCTTCCCACCATTTCCCTTTCTTTCTTTCCTTCCTTCCTTTTATCTCCCCCTTCTCTTCATCTTTCATCTCTCCTTCCTTCCCTCTCTTTCTTCCCTTTCCTCTCTCTCAAGAATCCCCCTCTCCTCCCTCCTGTCTTTTCCAGAATGTCTCTCTCTCTCTTCTTCTTCCCTCTCTCTTTCTCCACACCCTTTTCTCTTCTTTCTTTCTACTCCCTTTGATCTTCCCATTCTTCTCTCCATCTTCCACCTCCCCTTCCTTCCTCCCCCTTGAACTTTCATTTCTCCTTTCTTCCCTCTTTTTCTTCCCACCATTTTATCTTCTTTCTTTCCTTCCACTCCCCTTGATCATCCCTCTTCTTCTCTCCATCTTTCATCTCTCCTTCCTTCTTCCATCTCTCTTTCTTCATTCCATTTTCTCTGCTTCTTTCTTCCCCCTTTCCTCCCATCTCAAGGATGTCTCTCTCCTTCCTCCTCTCTTTCTTCACATCCTATTCTTTCCTTCCTTCCCTCCTGTCTGCAGGATCCTACCTCTCCTCCTCCCCACACCTTTCTCTCTCCCTCTCCTTCTCTCTCTTTCTTCACACCATTTTCTCTTCTTTCTTTCTTTCCTCCTTTCCTTCCTTCTTCAGAATGTCTCTCTCTGTGTGTTTGTCTCTCCTTCCTTCTTTACATCCTATTCTCTCCAACTTCCATCTCTCCTTCCTTCCTTCTCTATTTCTCTTCTTTCTTTCTTTCCCTCCCTTTCTTCCTTCTCCAGGATCTTTCTCTTCTCTCCTCCCTTCCCTTTTTCTTCCCACCATTTTTCTCTTCCTCTTTCTTTCCTTCCCTCCATCTCCCCCTTCTTCTCTCCATCTTCCATCTCTCCTTCCTTCCCTCTCTCCCTTTCTTAATTTTCTCTGCTTCTTTCTTCCCCCTTTCCTCCCATCTCAAGGATCCTCCTGTCTTCTCCAGAATGCCTTTCTCTCTCCTTCCTTCCCTCTCTTTCTTCACACCATTTTCTCTTCTTCTTCCTTCCCTCCCTTTCTTCCTTCTCCAGAATGTTTCTCTTTCTCCTTCTCCCATCTCTCCTTTCCTTCCCTCCCTTCTGTGTCCAGGAGCTCCCACTTCCCTTTCTTAGCACCCTATTCTCTCCTTCTTCCCTCCCTCCCTCCCTCCTGTCTCCAGGATCCCCCCTCTCAACCTCTTCCCCACAGCTTTCTCTCTCTCTCTCTCCTTCCTTCTCTCTTTCTTCCCACCCCTTTCTCTTCTTTCTTTCTTTCTTTCCATTCCCCTGATCTCCCCCCCTTCTCTCCATCTTCCATCTCTCCTTCCTTCCACCCCTCTCTCTTTCTTCACACCCTTTTCTCTCCTTCTTCCCTCCCTCCTGTCTCCAGGATCCCCCATCTCCCACCTCTCTCCTCCCCACACCTTTCTCTCCCTCTCCTTCCTTCCATCCCTCTCTCTTCCTTCTCACCCCTTTCCTCTACTTCTTCCCTTCCTCTTTTCTCCAGGACCCCCCTCTCCTCCTCCCCAGCTTTATCTCTCTCTGCTTCCTTCCTTCTCTCTTTACACCCTATTCTCTCCATCTTCCACCTCTCCTTCCTTCCTTCTTTCTTCACACCCTTTTCTCTCCTTCTTCCCTTCCACCTGTCTCCTGAATCCCCCCTCTCTCCCTCCTTCCCAGCTTTCTCTCTCTCTCCTTCCTTCCCTCTCTCTTTCTTCACACCATTTTTCTCTTCCTCTTTCTTCTCTCCCCTGTCCCCACCTTTCTCCCTCTCTCCCCTTCCTTCCTTTTCTCTTTTTTCACATCCTTTTCTCTTCTTCTTCCCTTCCTCTTGTCTCCAGAATCTCCCCTCTCCCCCTCCTCCCCAGCTTTCTCTCTCTCTCCTTCCTTCTGTCTTTCTTTACACCCTATTCTCTCTATCTTCCTTCTCTCCTTCCCTCTGTCTTTCTTCACACCTTTTTCTCCTTCCTATCTCCAGAATCCCCCCTCTCCCCAGCTTTCTCTCCCTCTCTCTCCTTCCTTCTCTTTTTACACCCTATTCTCTCCATCTTCCACCTCTCCTTCCATCCATCTCTCTTTCTTCACACCCTATTCTCTCCATCTTCCACCTCTCCTTCCTTCCTTCTCTCTTTCTTCATACCTTGTTCTCTCCATCTTCCATCTCTCCTTCCTTCCTTCTCTCTTTACACCCCATTCTCTCCATCTTCAACCTCTCCTTCCTTCCTTCTTCTCTCTTTCTTCACACCATTTTCTCTCCATCTTCCATCTCTCTTTCCTTACACCCTGTTCTCTCCATCTTCCATCTCTCCTTCCTTCCTTCTCTCTTTACACCCCATTCTCTCCATCTTCAACCTCTCCTTCCTTCCTTCCTTCTCTCTTTATTCACACCCCTTTCTCTCCTTCTTCCCTTCCACCTGTCTCCAGGATCCCCCTGTAGAGCAGGAGGGCAAGAGGCACTCACTACTTGTAGAGCTGCTGGAGGCAGAGGTCCAGGCACTCTCCCTCGGCCTCCTCCTCGGTGATGGGCTCCGAGAGCGGGCGGGGCAGCGAGGGCAGCGGCGGGAGGAGCGGCGCAGGCGGGGGAGGCGGAGGAGGAGAAGCCGGAGCCGGAGCAGGAGGGGCGTCCTCGCCTCCCTCCGCGCCAGGAGCCTCCTCAGGCCGGGCTTCCCCCTCTTCCTCCTCTCCTCCTCCTCCTTCTTCTTCCCTCACAGCTTCTTCTCCTTCTCCTTCGGTGGCTCTCCCTTCTTCCTCTTCTCCTCCTCCTTTCTCCTTGGGCTGTTCCTCCCCGAAGGGTCCGCGGAACTCGAGCAGGAAAAGCTCCAAGAAGCGGCGGTAGCTCCGCTCCTCAAAGCTGCAGGGCCCGCCCGCGGCCATCGCTTCGCATCGCCCGCAGGAGCAGCAGTAGCAACAGCAGCAGCAGAAGAGGCAGAGGCAACACAGGCAGCACCCGCCGCGAAGAGACTCCCTCAGACACTCCCTCCCTCGGCGCCCGCCTCCCGCCCTCTGGCCTGCCGCGGCTCTGTGCGCCCCAGGACACGCCCCCTTCCTGGAGGACACGCCCCCTTTCCTGCACGCGCGGAGGACGGTTGCTCCCCTCCTAGGCCACGCCCCCTTCCCACCGCCTCCCTGCACTTGCGAAGGAGGATTGGTCCCATCTGGGCATGCGCAGTAGAAAGTGGGCCTTGCCGCCGCGACTCCTTCCCCCCCCGCCTCCCTGCACTTGCGAAGGAGGATAGGTCCCATCTGGGCATGCGCGGTACAAAGTGGGCTTGCCGCCGCGACTTCCAGGCCGCGCCCCCTTTCCCTCCGCCTCCCTGCAGTTGCGAGGGAGGATTGGTCCCATCTGGGCATGCGCGGAACAAAGTGGGCGAGGCTTTGGTCTGCTGCGACTCATTACACACCCCAGGACACGCCCCTTTCTCCTCCTCCCTGCTCCTGCAAAGGAGGCTTGGTAGCATCTGGGCATGCGCAGTACAAAGTGGGCGGGATTCTGCCTTGCCGCCGCGCCTCCTTTCTCTTTCTTCGCACCCAAAGCCACGCCCCTTTCTCCTCCTCCCTGCTCTTGCGAAGGAGGATTAATCCCATCTGGGCATGCGCGGTACAAAGTGGGTGGGACTCTGCCTTGCCGCCTCGCCTCCTTTCTCTTTCTTCGCACCCCAGGCCACGCCTCTTTCCCCTCCCCTCGGAGGCCGCGCCCCCTTCTGGCCTGCGCCGCGCCTCCTTTCGCACCCCAGGCCACGCCCCTTTCCCCCTCCTCCCTGCTCTTCCGAAGGAGGATTAATCCCATCTGGGCATGCGCAGTACAAAATAGGCGGGACTCTGCCTTGCCGCCTCGCCTCCTTTCTCTTTCTTCGTACCCAAAGCCACGCCTCTTTCCCCTCCTCTCTGCGCGCGGCCCTAGGAGGCCACGCCCCCTTCTGGCCTGCGCCGCGCCTCCTTTCGCACCCCAGGCC